GGGCAGAACCGTGCGCTGCTCCAGTGTGGACAAGACTACGAGCAAGCCCAGAATGGCAATACAGTGTATTCTATGAAGGGATTGGGGTTTGCAGCCTGTGTAGACCTCCAAAGGATCCTGTCTACCCAGGGCCTTCTGTGGCACAGAGAGGGACCTGGGCTTCCAAGTTAAGACAAGACTCAGCACTGAATCGTAGCTGGCTGCAGGCTGCCTACGTACCACGGAACCCACTAAACTCCCTACGCCTCGGCAGCTTCATCTCTGTAAGCTTGTACTGATACCAGGGTGAAGGAGGTGTGAGCGTTACACCACGCAAAGCACTCAGTAAGCAGCCAGCACAGAACAGGTGCTCAATTGCTGAGTACAGCTCAGTGGGGAGGAGCTCCTGCGGGGCGCGAACAGTTAACTCACAGCTGCTAAGCTTGGAAAGGCTGGTGGTTCTGAGTTCACCCAGAGGCACCCTGGAAGAAGGGGCTGGCAATCCACTTCTGAAACACCAGCCACTGAAAATCCTGTGGGGTGCAGCCGTACTCCAGCACTCACAGGGTTGCCAAAGACAGGATCAACCTGAAAGCAACTGTTCTCTCTTCATTTGTTTGTTTTTTCTGGGGGGCTAAGAATGAAGCCTTTGGACTCAGTCACCAGCACTGGAGTGCTAGCCCTGCCGTTCATGGGCTGGGTGACCTTGGAAAAGTCATTTAAACTCTCTGTGCCGTTGAACTGGGAGCAATAATCCAGAATGGGGAGAAAAGTCAATGACCCGTTCTGAAACAGGGGCACTATTAAGCTAGTTGCAAGGATTTAATGAGTTAAAATGGCCAGAACACTAGAGCAGGGCCAGGCTTACTGCATTCTGACAATTAGTGGAAATTATTAATAATATAATAGGAGCTCTGGTGGTGTAGTGCCTAAGGCACTTGACTGCTAACCAGAAGGCTGGCAGTTCAAACCCACCAGCCACTCTATGGGAGGAAGACTGGGCAATCTACTTCCATAAGGATTTACCGCCTTGGAAACCCAAAGGAGGTTGCTATGAGAGTCTGAATCAACCCGTTGGCAGCGAGTTTGGGGTTTTTTTGGTAGAATAATATAATAAGGAACTAAAACAGCTCTCCAGGTGGCACACATGGTTTACTCTTCGATGGCACGTAACAACAACACTACCACAAACATAAAGGTTCGGAGTTCAAACCCATTGAGCAGTGACACAGAAGAAAGGCTTGGTGACTTGTTTCCACAAAGACTACAGCTCAGGAAACACTACGCTGTACTCTGTAACACCTGAGGTCACCACGACCTGGAGTAGACCTGACAGCAGTGGGTTGGCAGGTTTGTTGGGATGATATCCAATCAACATATCAGAAAAATGGGGAGGGATGCTTGGTGGGGGACGTGCACTATGACACAGCATAGCAGGCCTGATGCAGGTCTCTGAGAGTCGTGCCGGTGGCATATGGGGACAGCCGAGTCTACACAGGCTGGCCCCACTCTGCAGATGCCGTGTCTGTAGATGCTGTGTTACCCGCCTGCACTATGACAGCGTAGCAGGCCTGAGGCAGTTCTCTGGGAGTCGTGCTGGTGGCATATGGGGACAGCCAAGTCTACACAGGCCCACCCCACTCTGCAGATGCTATGTCTGTAGATGCTGTGTTAACCTCCTGCACCAAACAGAGAAGTAGCTCATAGGACAAGCTGCAACACACCCGTAAGGGACACAGGGCAGCCACCTGGCTGCAGGGAACACAGAAAGCCTTGCTCCCGTGTTTTGCAATCCTTACCCTGCAGTCAATCTTCTTGACAACAGTTGGTCCCACGGGGAACAAGATGAGGCGGTCTGTTTTCTTCCAGACTGCCAGCCTTGGAAACCCTATGGGGCAGTTCTACTCTGTCCTGCAGGGCCGCTATGAGTTGGCGTCAACTTGACGGCTGCGGGCTTGGTTTTTTCAATAGGGAACAAATCTGAAAGGTGAATAAGGTGCTAAACTGGAGAGAGATGGGATGCTTGATCCTTTCATCTAGGACCACTCATCCCGTGGCATGTTTATTTAACCACTTCACCTTCCACCAATGTTGTACATCAGCTCAGGAACACACATTACACCCTTGCTTCCAAGCAGGCCCGTGAATCACCACCTCTCGTGGGACGGCGAGGAGACAGCTTCTTGCAGCCTGACCCACTCACACAGCACAGCATGTTTCATTAACTTTCCAGGATCTACTTTCTGGGCAAGGCTCTCTCGCTTCCTCCTCTTTCCTTCTTAAGGAAGCAGGTAGATGTGAAGAAGGGCAAGGGCATTCCCTGTTTCCCCTGAGAAGGGAATCAATACAGGCCCCCTGCTCCTACCCACTGTTCTGAATTCAAGAACTCCCTGGAAACCAAACGTTTCCCTATGATGCCTTTGGAGGCAAACTTGACCTGATATAAACGTGTTTTGTAGCAAATCCTGCTCTGAGCAGGCACAAGCATCTACATTTTTAAAGTTGCCCTCACACAGTGTAAACATTGGCTACAGTTTATAATACGCTGCCAAAACCCTAAGCCACCCCAGTGGCTGCTGATTCCAACTCAGGGCCACCCCACCTGTGTCACTTTTCACTGTGTCCAAAGGGCTGATTGCTTTGGAAGTAGATCATCAGGCTTTGGGGTAGACTCGAACCTCCAATCACTTGGTTAGAGGCCAAACAAGTTAACTGTTTGTACCAGCCAGTGACTCAAGACCCCAATGAAGGTGCTTCTGGCACATGCACTGGACCATTCTCCTACAGCTGGCCTGTCGTGGCGGCTGCCCAGCCGGCTCTGACGCAGGGCAACCCGTGCACACAGGTCTTCACCGACCGATTACCTGCAAGTAGACTGGCCTCTCCTCCTACAATCATTACCACCCTCCTAAAATCTCCAAATTACTAAATTCTCAAACACATTGGGTCCCAGCTTTCAGACACAGGGTTGTGGAGGTTACGAGTTTCAAGCACAGCCTATGCAAATAGCCAGCGAGAAAGATAATTCTAGGACTTTCTTGAAGCTGCCACCTTCTCGAAAAACCACACTTTGGGCTGAGCCCTCACATCGCTGAGCCCCAGAGAACAATCACTTGTCAACTTGGCTGCATTCTGTCCTCACACAGTAGGAGGTTTTACAGAAGAGCCCATGGCGGGTCATACACACAAACAGACACATGTGACCCAGGATGTGCCTGTCTTCGTGAAAGGGCCTGTGCTCGTGGGGTCACACTCTTGGAAAGTCGGTCTGCCGTGGGTTCCAACAGAGCTGGCTCTGACTTCCCACTCCATCAGCCCACAAGGTGGAGGGGGTGGGCTCTACTCAACAGCAGAGACAACCCACACTATCCGACACTTGCAAAGAAATGAATCATGGGTCCTGGTCACAGAACTAAAGGTGAGCTACCGTGCACAGCTCCTCTCGTCTGGCTGACACACTGTCCTGAAATACGGCACATGGAGAAATTCAGAGAGACCAATGGCTGTGTTGCATGCTGGTTACAGGGCTGAAGGAAGTGCATTTGTATGGAGGCCCCTGAAGCACACCTGAAACTGACCTCCCTGGTCAACAGGTATGAAATCAGGGAGAGGAGCTCTCCAGGACCCACAAGGCTGGGGCAGAGGCGTCAGGTAAGGCCACTTGGGCACCGACTTGGGTGTGGCCTCACTGATTCAAGGTTGGGCTGAAGACTTGGGAGTGCCTGAATGCTTGTGGACACTTCTTAAATACAGGGGCTCTCTGCCCTGGCTGCCACTCCCACCCCCACGGACCAACTGGCATGACAGTTTCCAACACTATCGCCAAAGTGTAACCACTGCCTGCTGTCAACCACACATCTCTGGAGAGACAGTGGGGGCCTGGGAAATGCCGTGGTGCAAGGACTCAGCTACCGACTCCACTCAGCGGGCCCCGCCAGCAGCTGTGCATCATCACAGACGTCGGAGGCCGTGGGAGGTGCCTGCACTCCTACTGTGACAGCCGCCTGCTTCCAGGCTGACCCCTGGGAACACAGGGCAGGTAGTGGTGGCTCTCCACCTGCCAGTCTGCCCACAGCTGCCCTGCACTGTGAAGATGGACAGGAACAGGCAGGCCAACCCCAGGCTGGAGGGCACACTGTGGGGTGGCTGGGGAGGTAGAGGGGAAGTGTGAGATGGTGGGGAAATGGGTGTGCACTGCGGGCTGGTGGGAGGGAACACAGCATGAACTGGTGGGTGGGGTGGAGTGGGCTGGTGGGGGTGAGGTGGTATGGGCACAGGGTGGGCCGATGGGGTGGGCATGGCATGGGCTGGTGGAATGGCTGTGGGGTGGCCGTGGCATGGGCCAGTGGGGTGAGGTGAGGTGGTCGTGGGGTGGCCGTGGTGTGGGCCAATGAGGTGGAGTGGGGTAGGCACGGCATGGGCTGGTGGGATGACCGTGGGGTGGCTACAGCAGGAGCCAGTGGGATAAGGTGGCATGGGTGAGGCATGGACTGGTGGGGTGAAGTGGGGTGGGTGTGGTGTGGCTGGTGGGGTGGCCATGGGGTGGCCACAGCATGGGCCGGTGGGGTGGCCATGGGGTGGGTGCAGTGTGGGCCAGTGGGGTGAGGTGTGGTGGGTGTGGCATGGACTGGAGTGGTGGCTGTGGGGTGGGTGTAATGTGGGGTAGTGGGGTGAGGTTAGGTGGGGTGTGCATGGGGCAGTGGGGTGGTTGTTAGGTGGGTGCAGCATGGGCTGGTGGGGTGAGGTGGGGTGGCCATGGGGTGGCCGCAGTGTGGGCCGGTGGGTGGCCGCGGTGTGGGCTGGTGGGGTGGCCGTGATGTGGGCTGGTAGGATTTAGTCAGGAAGGAGGCCAGCTCTGGATGTTCTTTTTCTCCTCGTCTGCAAACAAAACCCCCACCTCACTGAAGGGAAATGAAAGAGCCCAGGAGTTACCAAAACACAGAGCAGAGAACAAATGTTAACGTTTAACCAAATACCAGTTTTATGGGAAACAAGTTCACAGGTCACGTGAGCTCTCCCACCTGGGACTCTCCCACTCCTGGTCGTCCTTGTCCTTCTCATCTTTGCTGTCACCGGTGTGCAGGTGTTTCTGCACGATTCGCATGCCACCAGCTTTCACTGAAACGGAAACAAAAGGGGTGTGATTAACGTGGGAGTGGAAGGTGTGCGCATCAGAGACAGCAAGCTGGACCGTCTCTGCTGCCTGGTGACCACAGCCCATCCAGGTAGGTCTCAGTGGCAATTGTGAACAATGGAAGGAAGGGCAGCGGTGTCTGCAGGAGGCAGCATGATCCGGCACTGACACAACCTCTTCTCCAGATCCACTCAGAAACCTCCTGCGGCTCCCGGTGCTGCTCTGGTCAAGTGCATGTGAAGAGCAGCGGTGTAACACAGTGTAAACCAAGTTAAGTGGCTGCTTGCTTTGGGTTCTGCACATCTTCTCAACGCAACAAGAGCCCACTTAAGTCCTGCCCTGTGATGTTTTCTCAAATATCGAGGATGCTTTGGATGGTGTAGATGAAGCCAGGTGGCATGGGACAGCCACCGTGCCAGAGCCACTGAGCCCAGGAGCAACACAGCTACTGTGTCCCCCAACACCACCAAAACTCACTGCCACAGAGTCGATTCCGACTTACAGCAACCCAGCAGGACAGAGCGCAACTTCCCCACAGGATTTCCTAGGCTGAAATCTTTAGGGAAAGGAGGCCTGGTGGTGCTGTAGTTAAGAGTTCTGTTGCTAACCAAAAGGTCAGTGGCTCGAACCCACCAGCAGCTCTGTGGTAGAAAAGATCTGGCAATCTGATCCCATACAGATCCCAGCCTAGAAAACCCTACAGGGGAATCTACTCTGTCCATAGGGTCACCATGGGGTTGCTGTGAGTCAAGTTCAACAACAGCACACAACACCAATCTTCATGGAAGCAGACTACCAGGTCTTGTCTCCTGCAGAGCTGTTGGTGGGCTTGAACCACCAGCCTTCTGGTTAGCAGCTGAGCACTTAACCTCACTGCCACAGGGCTCCTTCTAGTGAGTGCAGGAACATGTTAATTCTGTTTAATAAAGGTTTTCTTTCCTTTAAAACTATATACACTTCACATACAATTCACCCATTTGAAGTATACAGTCCAGTGGTCTTGAATGTACTGATGGTATTGTACAATGCTCACCATGACCAATTTTCGGACATCTTCATCAACTCATAGGAACTCCATGCCCATTAGCAGTCACCAGCTCCCCCCTCCCTTTTCCCGGACAACAAGCATCTCCTTTCTGCCCCTATCTTGTTGATGCTGTCAGCTGCCACTGAGGTGGCCATGTCTTGCAGGGTAGAACTGCTCCATGGGTGTTCTTGGCTTTAATCTTTATGGTGGGAGCTCTGGTAGCATAGTGCCTAAGGTGCTTGACTGCTAACCAGAAGGCTGGCGGTTCAAACCCACCAGCCACTTCTCAGAAGGAAGATGGGGCAATCTACTTCCGTAGTGATACTGCCTCGGAAACCCAAGGAGGGGTCGCTATGAGTCAGGTCCGACTCGAGGGCACATAACAACAACAACGTTTATGGTAGCAGTTCACCAAGCCTTTCATTCTGTGGAGCACTGGGCGGGTCTGGACCACCAACCTTTCGGCTAGTAGTTGACCACAACCATCAGCACCTCCCAGGGACTCCTATCTGCCTCTATGTTGTTGTTAGGTGCCTTCGAGTTGGTTCCAACCCATAGCGACCCTGTGTACAACAGAACGAAACACTGCCCGGTCCTGCGCCATCCTCACAATCATTGCTATGGTTGAGTCCATCACTGCAGCCACTGTGTCAATCCATCTCGTTGAGGGTCTTCCTCTTTTTTTTTGCTGACCCTCTATTTTATACCAAGCATGATTTCCTTCTTCAGGGATTGGTCCCTCCTGATAACACATCCGATGTGGGACAAAGTCTTGCCTCCTTCCTTCTGAGCAGTCCTCTGGCTGCACTTGTTCCAGGACAGAGCTGTCCATCCTCTGGGCAGGCCACAGTGTACCTAATGTTCCATAGACCTGCTTCCTCTGGATAGTTCATGTGAATGTCATCTCACACACGTGCCCTCTTCCACTTGGCAGAATTTTTTCATGGTTCATCCACATAGGAGCCTGAATCCCTTGTTCCTTCTTATTGCAGAATATTCTACAACATGGATATACCTACCACATTTTGCTTATCCATTCACCAGCTGGTGGACATCTGGGTGGTTTCCACTTTTTGACTATTATGACTGCTGCTGTGAACATACACATAACACATCTTTGTGTGGACGTGTCATTAATTCCTGGGATCCACACCCAAGAGTGGACTGCTGGGTCATATGGTCATTCTGTTTAACTTTTTGAGGAATCAGCAAACTGGATCCACAGCACTACACCATTTTTCATTCCCACCATGAATGGATGAGCATTCCAGTTCCTCCACATCTTCACCAACACTTGCTAATTTCCCTTTTCTGACAAGCGCCTTCCTAGTGGGCGCATCTCTTTGTGGTTTGATTTGCATTTTCTTGACAGATAAATTGTTAACGCTGTTTTGCAAAGAAAAATAACCACAACTGGTGACTAGGATCTGGTAAGAATGAGAAATGCTAAACAAAACTAATGGGTTTCCTCGAGACAGATCTTCTTTGCCTTTAGGATGCTAAAGTGCAGGGGGAAATTTTACGAGGGGTACAAAGAGGTACAGCCAAGCAGCTGTCCATCAGACTAGGCTGAGCAGAGAGCGATCAAGTAAAGAGCTGGGTTTAAACAGCGCCCTGGGTGTGGGACAAAAAAATCTCCCCACAGCCACCTCTTTTCACTGGGGCTGGAGGTGTTGGGGTGACATTCTACTTTTAAAAGAAGGAAACATAATTCTGTTCAGTAATTCTCCCAACAATCTGCTTTGTATCTCATCCAATGACTTTTTAAAATTTATTTTGTTGTTACTGTTGGGCATATACACAACAAAGCATGAACCAATCCTCGTTTCTACACATACCGCTCTGGGACACTGATGATGTTCTCCAAGTTGTGTGACCATCCTCACCCTCCTTTTCTGAGCTGCTTTCCCCATCAATATACACTTCCTGCCCACTAAGGTTTTCGCCTAATCCTCTGAGCTGCTGCTATCAACTTGATCCCATATAGATAGTTCCTGAAAGTGCATAATGCTCAAGACATATTTTTTTTTTTTAAATTAAGCTAAATTACTGCTTGGTTTTAAGAAGACTTAAGGGAATATTTTGATTTGAGGTTTAAAGATGATTTCAGGCAGTAGTTTCAGGGATTCAGCTAACCTTCATGGCTCCAGGAAGTCTGGAGTCCATGAGAATTTTAAACTCTGTTCTGCATTTCCCCCCTTTTGATCAGAATTCTTCTATACAATTTTTGGTCAAAATGTTCAGTGTAGTGGTAGCTGGCACCCCCCAGTTCTGATCTCTTTGCACAGAGGCAGCTGTTTTTGGTGGCAATTAGCATACATTCCCTCTCCTCCTCCTCTTGATCCCCTTCCCCTGTTGCTCCACATGAAGAGATCAATTATTGTGCCTTGGATGGCACTCATCTATTCATTTTTATTTCAATCATTTCATTTTTTTAATGTCCAGATCTTACTTTTTTTCCCCTCAAATTTGTCCAGTCTTTTTTTTTAATCAAGTGTTTTCTGTACTCATGTTTTCAATTCTTCTATATCCTTAAGTTTTCACATGCACACTTGTTTTATAGCTGTGTATTGGCTTACCAAGGGGTCCTGGTAGAGCAATGGTTAAGTGTGTGGCTGCTAACCAAAAGGTCAGCAGTTTGAACCCCCCCAGTGACTCCAATAGAGAAAGGACTGGTGATCTGCTCCCACAAAGAGAACCCTATGGGGCAGTGTTACTGTTTTCCAGGCTTGCTATGAGCCTAAACTCGACGGCCCGCAATAACAGCAGCAGTGGACCGCCCATGCTTACCGTGTGGATTTTCAGTTCCAGCTTCGTTTTAGCCTAAAGGCTTTCCCCTACTCTGAGCTGAGATAAAACAAAGAGATTGAGTCCACCATTTCCAGGTTTGTTTCCTTCAGGTTTGCTTTTAGTAAGTATTTCTCAGGTCACAGTCTGTCACGCTTTTGGAGATGGTGATGGAAATAAACTGTGCAGTTGTTTTATTACGTGAGGCCCCTGGGAGTCCCACCTGCTGCGTGTTCCGTCTGAGGATGGTTGCTCTTGTGCTGGACTGTGGGCTGTGAGCCTGTCTTCGGCAGGACCTTACACCTGGGGACCAGGGGTTGATCTGGAGGGCAGGTGCCTGGAAACGTTTTTATGTCAGACTTCTCAGAATAGAAGAATCCAGAACAAACAGTATAAATTTAAACTTCAAGCCCACATCAGCTCGATTACAGATTTTCAAGGAGAATCCGGAGCCCACCAGCTCCCTGGCCATCCTGTTGGGTTCCTGGGCAGACCTTCCTCCCCACCCCTTGAAAGGTCTGACCTCTGAGTATTGGTTCCGTGCTGGGTCTCCAATGTCAGCCCTGCTTCAGAGGGGCCCCAGGATCCTGCTCACCGCTCGGATTTTCAGTTCCATCTTTGTTCTTGGCCCTCTGGGAGTTCCCTCACTCTGAGCTCAGACTGAAAAAAGAAATTGGATCCCGCATCTCTAGGTTTTTTGTTTTGGCTTTATTGTTTTAAAAAGCAAAACTGGCCAGATTTTATAATCTGCTACACTGTGGGAAAATGAGAGTGAAAATAAAATTCCACAGTATGATCAAATAGTTTTCCACTCAGCAGTTTTGAATGTTTCTGGAAGGATCCTGGAAGCACTGTCCCACTACACGTTTCTGTAAATGGTTTTTAGTTGGCATGAGGTTGATTCCAATTCACGGCAACCCCATGTGCATCAGAGCAGAGAAATGCTCCATAGGGTTTCCAATGGCTGATCTTTTGGAAGCAGTTGTCCAGGCCACTCATCCGAGTTGCATCTGGGTGGACTCCAATCTCCACCTTCTTGGTCTCAGCCAAGTGTGTCAACTGTTTGCACCACCATCTATCCCATGCCATCAGAGAGTGACTCAAGGGCCTGCTGAAGATGGTGTCTTCTCAACATGGCAGACATAAACTTCTCCACCTAACTCACAGACG